CTTAATTAACTCCCAAAGATTCTTGGAGATCCAGATCAAATATTATTTGCTCATGTTTCCCTGTGATCTTACAGTTAGTTCTAAGAACATTTCTTTCAAACCACTCAAGACAATTGTAATTTTTTGCTTATTTGTATTCTCACTTGATTGTCTCTCCTATCACAATGTATACTCCTTGAGGGTTGGTGACTATTTTGCTTACTCTCCTCCAGGGTTATTCAGCCCCTACCATATGCCAGACATAAACACAATGCAAATGTAACATGTGGTGGGCTCAGGGGCTGGGAATCAGTATGAAGAGGAAGCACAGATTTGGGGATAGCACTGAGAAAGCAACGGAGACAATGACATGAAGGCCAAAATAGGCTTGAGTTACCACTTGGACCCAGAAGCACTTTCTCTTTATCTGTACCCTTCCCTCCTTTCATTCTCTTTCTTCCCCTTTTCATCTATTTTCTTTCTTCCTTTTTACTCTCAGCCTGGCCTCCTCTTCTCTACTCCAAACTGGCTCACTGCAAATATGATTATCTATGCTGAAAGGAGGCAAATGGAATGAGGAGACAGTGGAAAGTTAGGAGACGAGTAGGTGATTGGAAACAAAAAAAATAAGGAAAGAAAGACAGTAAACTCATAAAATTAGGTGTTTTAAAATTATGAATTAAGTAAAATAGTTGAAAAATAAGACCATATGTAAAAGAGTGGGCTCTGAATCATACAGTTGAGTTTAAATCCCAGATCCACCATTAGTGGCAATACACCTTTTGAGGAAATTACTTAACCTTGGGAAGTCAATTTCTTCACAACCTATAAAATGGGGACAATAACACCTACCTCAAAGGGTTGTTCTCAAGAGCAGTAAGATAATCCATTTTATATGTTTAGCATCATGCCTAGCACAAGGTAAGCACTCAACGTTATTTTTCTTTAAAACGAAGTACAACAGGAAAACGCCCCCTAAATAGCAAATATTTGTCATATGAATATGATCGTACCAAACTTCAAAAAATGGGAGAAAGATGTACTGGCACTTATATTTTGGGCACTGCAAAGACATTGCCTATAACCAATGCACAGCGCCTTGCAGCAGTAGCTGTTCTGTATTTTCAGGAGGGCAAAACCGAAAATGCTTATAAAATGTCTCTTTTGGGCAATTTTTATTTCGTCATTGAGGGCGGCTATTGACAGCAGGTAGGAGCTGCAAAAAGGGAAGTGTCCTCTCCAGCTGCCAGCAGAGTCGGTTCTCCCGGAGCAGGGCTTGCTCTGGCCCTGCAGGCGCTGGACCCGGTAGTAAGCAACGGTAAAAGCAGCCCGCCATTCCTGCTCTGGTCCCTAGGAACTCATGTATGTGGTGGCGGCAGGCTCACCTCGCGGCCTTCGCTGAGTCTTTACAGTTTCAAGGATGGAATCCGAGATCTGAGTCCCTACTAACGGAGGGTAACGTGTACTACGGGGGAGCGCCTGTGCAGCGACACTCACCGATCTAGGAGAATCCCCAACCTTCCTTGCCCAAGCAGCTCACCGGTCCGCCTCCATCCATTGGCCGCCTAACATTTCAAAATCCGCCCCCAGATTTGAAACCTTCTTCCGGCAGTTTGTCGGGAGACCCAGCGCGAGCCAGCGGTGCTCACCGGCGGTGCTCTGGTAGGTCCGCCCACTCCCAGCATTCAGTGCGGTGTTCTGGCCGCCATTGTTTAAATTTGAAAACGAAAACAGCAAGGTGTTGCTCGCTGGTCGGGCTGGCGCGGTGACTTGTGCTGGTGAAGAAGGGACCCAGGTGAGGGTGCAGGGAAAGAGGTGGGTGACTGCACACATATTGGGCCTTAGGTGGGCAACAGCTCTAGCAATCTCAGCATCTTCCAACAGAACTTCTGCTTCCGCTGAGGTTACAGGCAGGGAACTGGGTTAGGGGGCTTTGAAGGCGCTGGGGGCGCCTCGGAGAGTTGGAAGTATATGGTGTGCGCGGCACCCAGTGTGTTTAGCCTAAGTAGCCAAAGTAATAGTAGCCCTTACTACTTTGAATCAGGATTTAAATCTCGTCTCCGCCCCATATTGAGTGAGTGACACAGGGAAAATTATTTAATCTCTGGACCTCAGTTTCCTTGTCTGTTGAGAAGGGGGGTTATAATAGTACTGTGATCTGCTTCCGAAAGGTCACTCAGTCTTGAAAACCGTGGGGCCATGGTCTTAGGGCTTTCACCACTCTCCATCAGACAGGTAAACCTGGTCTTTTTTATGAATTTGAGTTTTGTTCCACATTTTTCTCCAACTCTATCCAGGATCTTCTGCACTGGTCGCTTTGTGAGTGGTTGACAGTGGTAGGGGCACCATCTATTTCTTATGGTGTCAGGGTCATATCGGCTGAGGTTCGCAGGGTCCACTAGTCCTTCGTACTAATTATTTCCATGTGTCTGGTTTTCTTCATTCTTCTTTGCTCCAGACAAGGAGAGACCAATTGTTGCATCTTAGATGGCCACTTGCAAGCTTTCAAGACCCCACTCACTACTTACCAAAGTAATATGTAGAACAGTGTTTTTGTGTAGTATGTTACGGCAATTGAACTTGGCTGTCACTAAGTTATCTTCATTTTGCCCCATTAGCTCTATTATATATATGGACATTCTTGTAGCACATAGAAATACGTATATAGAAATATCATCTGCTAAACTTACATGTGGTCATGGGTATATTCCCTTTTGTTCAGGCTGAATTTAATGGTTCACATTAAGAACTCATTCAGTTAAGGATACAGGTTGTTGTTGTTGTTATGTGCCGTCTACCTGATTTAGGACAGAATTTTGTTTAGACAACTCGGGAGGAAGTTGAATGCCTCTTTTTTTTTAAAAAAAGTTTTCCTTTATTTTTGCCTTTTATCACTATCTTTATAAATCCAATCTTAATTTGTCTTTGGGTGTTCACATGAGAATGGTAACATTAGCAAATTACATGCTGTAACATTGTATGTACTACATATTACTAATGGTAAGATGTAGCAAATGAAAAAAAAAAGGTGATTAAATGGTAGTCCTAATTTGAATACTAGTAAGTTGGGGAGAGTCTGTACTGTTGTCTTTACCAAGTCTTAAGTTATTGAGTCTCACTGGAGAGAAGATAAATGAAAAATGCAATTTCCCAGTCATGGAAACAACTTTTCAAAATGAGGAATGAGATCTTAAACCCTGCTGTCTCTGTAGATAAAACACTAAGAGAGTAGGACCAATTTTCTTTGGGTAGAAAAGATTTTATCTATCATTTAAGTCTTTAGACAAGAAGTCTTTATCCCTAGTTAGATCTCTGTTAGAATTTGTTGTAAGAGATACAGAGTAGTGTAAAACAAGGCCCTTTTTTCTGCCCTCAAATTTCCAATCTAGTTGGAGAGGCCACACATAAGTAGCCAAAAACTGGACTCTTAGCCACTCTGGGGGACAAAGTAGAACTGCCCCCATAGGGTTTCCAAAGTTGTAATCTTTTCAGAAGCAGACTGTTAAATCTTACTCCCACAGAGCTGCTGGTGAGTCTGGAGTGGCTGGTTTAGCTGAGCACTTAACTGCTGCACCACCAGAGAGCCATAAGTAAAAGTCAACCAAAAGTATAAAAAGTGATGGGACCTATCAACAATTTTAGAAATGTTAGGAGGCAATTTGTAAGTTGATATGTGAATGTATGAAACAGTACAAACTTCTTTAACCTACATTTTTAGAAGATACAAATACTCTTTAATGCAGCAGTTTTTGAAAAGGTTTATCAGAAGACTTTTTTTTTTTTCAGAAACTAAAATTAGCTGAAGGTTCTATTACCAAAACCAAACAAACTCATGGTTGAAATATTTTATGAAATTACATTTAAATAATTTTCTCAATTTTATTACATCACTAAGTATATAATAAAAATAGAAGCTATAAAGATATTAAACTTGTTTAATGGTTTGGTTGGTTGATCCTATCGTCTGCTGAGCTTTATTGAAGGTAGATGTACAATTTCTCTTATGCTTTTTGCAAATTAAGAGGGAAAAAAAACTGGATGCCCATTACTTGCTTCTTGAACAAAAGGTTGTAGTTTGGAGTCGCTGTTTTGGGTAATGAAGGAACTCTGGTGGCGTAGTGGTTAAAGTGTTCAGCTGCTAACCAAAAGTTCGATGGTTTGAACCTACCAGCTGCTCCACGGGAGAAAGATGAGGCTTTCTGCTTCCGTAAAGATTGGAAACCCTGTAGGGCAGTTCTGCTCTGTCCAAAGGGTTGCTCTGAGTTGGAATCAACTTGATGGCAGTGGGTTTGGTATGCTGGACCCTTTCTAGTACTTCAACGATAAATTCTAGTTTGGCGTTCTCTCTTTTTTTCTTTTATGATATTGTGTACTGAAAAGATCCTCAGTGAATAGTTTCATGTTACCGCTTTTTCAATTGTGGTTACCCTCAAGTTAACCTTTAAGTTTAGTGATTTGATATTTAATTTAGTTATAATAGTTCACTGATGCATTATTCCACATTCAGTTTAATATGAGACTTACTCTGTGTCAGGTAGTGTTTTGGATATGTTCCATATATTGTTAAACTTATTTTTTACTTACATTATTTGGAAGAATTTAATTAAAATTAGTTCCCCCAGATAACTGAGTTTAATTCCTAAATGCTAAAACATTACAAAGTCTGTAACATTCTTCAGAAGACACAAAATCACTGCATAATATAAGGTTATAATTAACTCTATGATCTCCTTTGCTATTTGATTTCTAAGAGGGTTTCAGGCAGAGCTGGAAAGTTTTTATTGTGTCACTTTATGAATTATATTTACTCATGAAATCTAGTTGGAAATAGATATGGGTTGAATCAGAATTTACGAACATGCTGATTTTTTGTCTTTCCATGGGTCAATGTGTTATAGATGAAACAGTTTAATCTTACCCTTCACCGAAATTCTAGGTATATGGGGGTTGGTGTTGGTATGGATTGGCTTATATGCTGACTTACTAAGGTTGTCTGAAGAATATAACATTGTTTTTGCAGAATGGAATCTATGAATCAAGATGGAGCACCTAGACCGTCTTATGTTTTTAGTGCTGACCCAATTGAAAGGCCTTCAGAAATAAATTTTGATGGAATTAAGCTTGATCTCTCTCATGAATTTTCTTTAGTTGCTTCGAATGCTGAGGTAAGTATAAGAAAAGTATTATATATATTATCATGACTGAGTGGAAAGATTTGTTTTTGAGTTTTTTTGGGGAGTTGCCTAGAGGAGAGAGAGTCTTAAACTTTCTGGGTTTAAGGTACTCTTGTGTGTCAGTAATTTTTTGTGATACCCCTAGGCCAAAATAAATATGTCAGGTTCCTTTTCAAGTAGTAGGTCCAAACAATCAATATTCTGTGCCTTAGCTAGTAGCCAGCTGAAAAAAAAAATTAATTGTATTCTTAACCACAATTATTTACTAGTGGGATATGTGTGCTTTTGAGGACTTCACAACTTCTCGAAATTTGGGATCTAGTTAGTCACTGCTACTCTTGTTTCCTGTTCCTCATGTATTTTGTGTGGTTGTTGTGTGCTGTTGAATTGATTCCAGTTTATAGCATTTATAGGATAGAGTATAACTGCCATACAGGGTTTTCTAGGCTATAATCTTTAAGAGAGAAGATTACCAGGTCTTTCTTCCCAAAGAGCAGCTGATGGGTTTGAACTGTAAACCTTTTGGTTAGCAGCTAAAAACTTAATTGCACTACCAACCAAAAACCAAACTTAACCACTGTCAAGTCAGTTCCAACTCAATGACCCTATAGGATAAAGTAGAACTTCTCCATAGGGTTTTCAAGGCTGTAAATCTTTACAGAGGCAGACTGTCACATCTTTTTTGCACGGAGCAGCTGTTGGACTTGAACCGCTGACCTTTTGGTTAGCAGCTGAGTGCTTTAACAACTACACTCCCAGGGCTCTTTTTCTGTATGATAGCTGCTTTTTATCGCAGCAGCTACTGGAAACCAAGCTTTACAGAGATGCCATCATCAACAGAAGTAGTGATCTAGTGTTGAAACTAAAACACCTCAAGTTAATAGTTCATGTGGTATCCAAGAGATGTCACATACTGCTGTGATTTCCTCAAAAATGTAAAATATCCTGCTGTGCTGCTAAGAATTGTGAGCCTTAATCTAAAAAAAAAAAAAAGATTTTTAAAATTAAAACAATTCCATCGTGTTTAGACTAAGAAGTAAAAGTCCTCTGCCACCCTTCCTGTTACCACTGTTCTGATTGCTGTGTGCCTTTGTAGATCTCTTCTTGTACTTTTACTCATCGATTCATTTATATTCTACTTTTTATGTTTTAGATAATTTTTAATGCCCTAGAGATATGGATGGGAGCTCTGGTAGCGTAGTGCCTAAGGCACTTGACTGTTAACCAGAAGGCTGGCGGTTCAAACCCATCAGCCACTCTTTGGAAGGATGGTTGGGCAATCTACTTCTGTAGTGATACTGCCTCAGAATCCCAAGGAGGGGTCGCTATGAGTCGGGTCCAACTCGACGGCACATAACAACAACAACAACAACAGAGATATGGACTGAGCTATTTTATAAAGAATGGTGGAAGTAAAATGGGGGAATAGGATACATAGATAAAGCAGTATATCAGTATGCCTAATGTTCCAACTTCTTTTATACACTCAAGCTCATTTTAAAATAAATAAATAATAAATAATAGAATGAAAGGAATTCTGTGATAGGTGTTTCTTGGTTGTCAGTTTTCAGTCCCACCTGTGGTCCAGGTAGGAATTCTGGTGATGTGGTAGTTAAAGCATTCAGCTGCTAACTAAAAGGTCAGGGGGTTTGAACTCACCAGCGTTTCATGGGAGAAAGATGGGACAGTCTGCCTCTGTAAAGATTTACAGCATTGGAAACCTTATGGGACAGTTACACTCTATCCTAAAGGGTTGCCATGAGTCAGAATCCACTAGATGGCAGTGGGTGTGGTCCCAGGTAACCATTGATCTGCTTTCTGTCTTTATATAGCTTTACCTCTTCTATACTTTGGTACAAATGGAATCATAGTATATAATCTTTTTGTGTCTGCTGTCTTTTACTTAGCTCAAAAACCCCGTTGCCATTGAGTTGATTCTGATTTGGGATGATCTCACTTTATAAAGTAGAACTGAGCACCACAGGGTTTTCTCAATGTTTATGGAAGCAGATCACTAGGCCTTTCCTCTGTGGCACCACTGGGTAGGTTCAGACTACCAAATTTTTTGATTAGTAGCTGATCAAAAACTGTTTGCTGCGTAGGGACCCTTCGCTTTACACAGGGGTCAGCATATAATTACCTGCAGGCCAAATTGAGCCTCATCACTTTTTTACCAGCCAAGAATGGTTCTTACATATTTTTTTTCTGTTGTAAAAAAAGTGGACAACACAGCATTTGCCAATTCAATAGTTTTCAGTTGCATAATTTAGGATATTGATTCATTACATTAATCATGTTGTTGCAACTGTCACGCATATTCTTTGCCAAATTACCCATCACCATAAATAGAAACTCACTGCTTCCTCAACAGTGATTGCCTCATTTTCCCCTCCTTTCTACCCTTGTTGTTGTTGTTATGTGCTGTCAAATTGGACCCGACTCACAGCGACCCCTCCTTGGGTTTCCGAGGCAGTATCACTATGGAAATAGATTGCCCAACCTTCCTTCCGAGGAGTGGCTAGTGGATTTGAACTGCCAGCCTTCTGGTTAGGACTCAAGTGCCTTAGGCACTATGCTACCAGAGCTCCCTTTCTACCCTTAGTAACCACTAGTAGCCTTTGATCTTTACATTTACCTCTTCCTGTTATTTCATATAAGTGAGATCATACAATATTTGTCTTTTTAGGATTGACTTATTTCACTTAACATAATGTTTTCAAGGTTTATACATGTTCTAGTCTATATCTGCATTTCATTTTTCTTTATGGTTGACTAGTATTCCATTGTATGTATGTAGCACATTTTCTGTATCCATTCGTCCATGGATGGACTTTTAGATTGTTTCCACTTTGTGGTTTTTATAAATAGTGATACCATGAACATTGGTACACACATATCTGTTAGCATTGCTACTTTCAGATCTCTTGGGTATATACCTAGGAGTGGAATTCCTGGGTCATATGGTAGTATTAAAGGAGCGCTCTGGTGGCTTAGTGAATAAGGCATTTGGCTGCTAATCAGAAGGCCAGTGGTTCAAACCCACCAGCTGTTCCATGGAAGGAAGATGGAGTGATCTGCTTTGGTAAAGATTTACAGCCTGGGAAACCCAATGAGGGTCACTGTGAGTTGGAATCAACTTGATGGCAGTGAGTTTGGTTTTAGGTTTTGGGATGGTAGTACTATGTTTAACTTTTTGAGGAGCTGCCAAACTGTACACATTTTTCGCAGTGGCTATACAATTGTAACACTCCCACCAGCAGTGTATAAGAGGCCCAATTTATCCACATCCTTGCCAACATTTGTTATTTTCCCTTGTTTTGATTTTGTGCCTAAGGCATTTGACTGCTGAGCAGAAGGCTGGCAGTTCAAACCCAACAGCCACTCTTTGGAAGGAAGGTTGGGCAATCTACTTCCATAGTGATACCGCCTCGGAAACCCAAGGAGGGGTTGCTGTGAGTCAGGTCCAACTCAGCGGCACATAACAACAACAACAACAACAACAGTGGATGTGAAGTAGTATCTCATTTTGATTTATGATTTGCATCTCATACCAACATTGCATCTCATACCTACATTCCTTCTGAGGAGTGGCTGGTGGGTTTGAATGGCCAGCCTTCTGGTTAGTAGTCAAGTGCCTTAGGCACTATCTACCAGAGCTCCCAATACAATATAAATACCATATATATTCCCTTTTAGCCTTTGAGGAATTGCTTTGACCAACTAATTATTTACCCCTTGCTAAAGGGGCAGGGAGGAAGGAAGATGGGGCAATCTACTTCCATAGTGATACTGCCTTGGAAACCCAAGGAGGGGTCGCTATGAGTTGGGTCCGACTCGACGGCACATAACAACAACAAAGGGGCAGGGAGGCCACATCTTCTGACCTCCTCTAACCTCACAAGAATTACCATCAGTAGCCCAAGGCCTATCCCTGTAAGGCCACACATGCCACCTTCCTCCAGCCCTTTTACCAACCCTGACACCAACTGTTCCCCCTGCAGTACCCACCCACTCTCTGCTGGGTTCGATAATTCTCTGCAGTGGTCACACAGAACTCACAGATTATGGGTTTTATTAGGGAAGCAGCAAGCTTCAATTCAAGTTCAGGAACTGCTCAGTCTCTTGCAGCCAGCCATCTCACTCAGCATCCAGCAGTCTCAGTAGTGCATCGCTCTCTCAGTAATACGTGTCTCTCTCCCAGCAGTGCGGGTCTCTAAGTCTCTGCAGTGTAGTAAATTACTTAGTGTGGCTTTTCTACCCATAAGTCTTTGTAAACTCCAAGGTGGGATTTTCTATGAGCAACTGAGGAGCTATCCACCTGGGTTATTTCTGTTGGGCGTGGCACAATACAATGTTCTGGGAGGTTCCCACTCTCTCTCACTGCTTAGAGTTCT